AATATATTTATTAGGTCTACTGAACAAAAAAAACACCTATATACATATACCTTCTTTCACAAAAATAAGTTACTCAAGAAAATTCTTAAAAACATAGACAGAGAGAAAAGCGCCAAGGATAGAGCTACGCTGATTATGACGTTTACAGGTGAACTTCAAAGAGTTAATTGGACACCGACTCCCTGTTTCATATCCATGTCTATGTAGTACAGTGCTTTGCAGGTTGCTTGACCCTGCAAACTCGTTAATCACGTGACTCTCACCATACTAGTAATACATGTCACGTGAGCAGAAACTGGGTCAAGCAACCTGCAAAGCACTGTACAGCCTTTTGCAGAGAACTTGCCACCAGTCACGTGATGATTAGCCATAGGCTTAAGGGGGCGGGGTATGTAATTCTCATTAATTATTCATAATACTTTCAAATCAATATTTAATATTTTTATGAAGTCACGTGATCAGACTGGTGCAAGTTTTGTGCAAAGCGCTGTACACCTCTTTTGAAGTCGGTTGTCCATCTGTACTGCGCATGCGTGGTTGTTGTCCATTCATTTTAATGCATCTGCGCATGCGCAGTATGCAAAACTAGCTTTTGAAGGGGACAACTGACTTCAAAAGAGGTGTATCAATGATCAGGCCAACCTCCAAAATTTGGGCGTGGTCGCGCATGCTCAGATCTCAGAACTGGGAAAAGCAATCAATGTTTTAACCTAGCTAGGCTAGCTATGCTTGGAATCAATTGTATTACTTAGTGGAAGTTTCCAGCTAAAAGAAAGTATTAATCTTACATGTTATTCTTTTATCAAGTGTTTAATGAATTATTTTATTAAAAAAAAAACAATTAATGTTATAATAATGCAATGATTATGACTTTGACATCAGGAAGAACAGGAATAGATAGCTAGGGAAGATGGAGCTTCTTGAACAAGGATTCAAGTCAAGACTATAGTATTAATTTCCCTTGTCATCAGTATAGTAGATATTCCTTCAGCATATCTATTTAATGCTGTGACTGCTGTCTCTCATAAATGCTGTAAAGTCAACAATAATAAAGAAAATTATTGTTTTTGTAAAATCAACAAGTATCACAATTGCAACTAAAAACATATTATAAATATTATAACAAAATCAACACAAACAAGAACATAAAAAATTTAAAAAAACAAGATTGAGTAGGATTCCAAACGACCAATGAAAATACAAAATGAAAATCCTACTCTCGTGACGCAAATACTACTCTACATTGCAAGGTGATTCATAAGTTTTACATAAGAACATTAAAAGTACAATGTAGAGGTAGAATTTGCATCACGAGAGTAGGGTTTTCATTTTGTATTTTCATTGGTCGTTCGGAATCCTACTCCAATCTTGTTTTTTTTATTTTTTATGTTCTTAAAATCATACACTTTAATCAAAGTACTCATGAGGTACTGATGGTTGTAAAGGTAAGTTTTGATTTTTTGAATTTAATAATAAAGCAGTTTCTCCTATTTTATACCAATGTAAGTTGCATTTTGTTCAATTAATGAAGCAGAAGTATGCACAAAAATGAAGAGGACAATGAAAAATTGTATAAATGAGCATTAGATTGTTTGTGCTAATTGTATTTTCCATGTTTATTGGCAATTTTATTTATTACTATGGGTAAACTATTCAACCACAAAGGATCAGATGTACCCTTTGATATTAGTTTATGAATGGTCTGAAGAACAGGAGGATATAGAGTAAACGGCCCGTGTTCGGACACGCCCGATTTTCGGACGCTATTTCTCAGCTTTGACAGAGCTTTGCTGTTTTCTCTTACTATCATCTGATAGATCTATGATAACTGTTTGGCACACATCATTATCAAAACAGATCGACTCTGTATGCTAACAACAGGCGCTCTCAAAGTCAAATTTTGGACGGCCATA